ATCGATCCGGGAGCATAAAAATAACCCTTACAGAAAAAACTAATGGAAACTTATATGTGTTTTATTAGCTCTTTCGAGCCAAAGGCTCAAAGAGCTAGTGCTATGGCCATTTGTGCGTCGTGTGGTGTGCTGTGTGCGTTAACCCCATTGGCCAATCGTTGTCAAATTTGTTACAGGGTATTCTTGGCCCAGGGGCTACCATTTATACTAAAACAAGGGTTAGGACCCTAAAACAAGGGAGATAATCAGGAAAATAGAATCAAAAGTACTGGTTGCTAAAAAAAACTTCTTCTCCAGAACCACCAGGTAGATTTTTCACCAAACTTGCAAACAAGGTTCGGGATATGTTGAAGATTAAAAATTGTTCAAGGCATGACCCTGGGGCAAAGGGCGTGGTCTCAAGGTCACGTCAAAGTTAACCAAAATTACACTTAATAAAAACGTTTATATTTTGCTTACTATAAACACTATGATCATCAAATCTTTTAAGTTGATGCATCTAAGGACTTTACATCATGATAACACAAAAATAGGTCACTGTGACCTACTTTTTAAATTTTACGGGCTTTTGTTTTCAAATTGATTTGGAGGCATATTTTGGACATTTTAAGGCTTATGATCATCAAACTTTGTCAATTGATGCATCTTGGCTCCTTAAACAAATTCAACTTAAAAGTAGGTCACTGTGACCTGTTTTTGTTTAAATTTTATGACTTATCTTTTTAAAAACATTAAATCCCATTATTTTAGATACTGAGAGGTTTAGCTTCACCAAATCTTGTAAGTTGATGCATCTTGGGGCCTTAAAACATATTTATGAAAAAGAAGGTCACTGTGACCTACTTTTTGAATTTTGCAGGCATTTGTTTTCAAATTGCTTCATATTTTGAATTGTTTCAGACGTACGATCATCAAACTTTGTCAGTATATGCATCTTGGATGTCGAAAATGTTGACGAAAAAGAAGGTCAACAGTGACCTACTTTTGACATTTTATGGCTATATTTCAGTATTTTATGTGTATTCTGGCTTATAATGATCAAACTTTGTCAATTGATACAACTTGGGTTTTAGGAGAATGTCGGCCAAAAATAGATCTCTGTGACCTTGTTTTGACATTTTATGGCTTTATTTCAGTATCTCAGGTACTTTTTGGCTTAGAATCATCAAACTTTTTCAGTTGAAGCAACTTGGGTTTTCAGAACATATCAACCAAAAAGTAGGTCACTGTGACCTAGTTTTGAATTTTATGGCTATATTTACTAATCCTTGGTACTTATTGGCCTAGAATTGTCAAATGTTGTCAGTTAAAGGATCTTGGTTTTTTGGAGTTTGTCAATCAAAAAGTAGGTCATGGTGACCTACTTTTGACATGGTATGGCCATATTTAAGTATATTCAGGTTATTTTGGCTTATAATCATAAAACTTTGTCAGTTGATCCAACTTGGATTTAAGAAGAATGTTGACAAAAAATAGGTCACTGTGACCTAGTTTTGACAATTTATGGCTATATTTCAGTATCTTAGGTACTTTTTGGCTTAGAATCATCAAACTTTTTCAGTTGATGCAATTGGATTTTTGGAGAATGTCGACCAAAAACAAGGTCAAAGTGATCTACTTTTTATTATCTCAGATAGTGATTGGCTTTGAATCATCAAACATTGTCAGTTGATGCATCTTGGGTCCTTTGAAAATGTCGATCAAAAAGTAAGTCATGATGACCTATTTTTGACATTTTATTGCTTTATTTAAGTATCTCTGGTACTTATTGGCGTAGAATCATCAAACTGTGATAGTTGATGCATCTTTGGTCCTCGGGGAATGTCAACCATAGGAAGATCACAGTGACCTACTTTATTATTTAAGGTACTTATTGGCTTAGAACCATTTCTTTGTCAATTATTGCATCTTGAGTCCTCAGAAAGTTTCAAATCAAAAAGTAGGTCACCATGTTCTACTTATGGTATTTTATAGCTATACTGAAATATCTCCAGTCCTAACTGGCAAAGGATCATTAAACTTTGTCAGTTCCTGCATCTTAGGATACTTAGAGTAAGAGGCTTCAAATAAAAGTGATAGATTGTACAATTTATCAAAAGAGTGATTCAAGGCCCTTGGGCCTCTTGTAATCCACTTATTAGCCACTTATTAGCAACTTATAAACCTACTTAGTACATAGGTATGATGAGCATGAGTGCCTCTACCAAAATTATGAATTTTATGGCCCCTGGGTCAGGGGTTCTGGTGAAAGGAGGGGGGGGGCTCTATAGATTATATAGTGAAATTACATGAATTCTTTAAAAATCTTCTTCTCTGTTCCTGGGTATTAAATAAACTAACTAAGTGCATAGTTATGATGATCAAGAGTGCCTCTACCAAAGTTGTGATTTTTATGGCCCTAAGTTCAGCGGTTCTGGTGTAGGGGGGGGGGGGTGGGGGGCTCTATAGATTATATAGTGAAAATACTTGAATTCTTTGAAAATCTTCTTCTCTGCGCCTGGGTATTAAATAAACTAACTAAGTACATAGTCATGATGAGCAATGATCATGATGAGCAAGAGTGCCTCTACCAAAATTGTGAATCTTATGGCCCCGGGGCCAGGGGTTCTGGTGTAAGGGGGGGGGGGTCTGTAGATTATAAAGTGAAAATACATGAATTCTTTGAAAATCTTCTTCTCTACTCCTAGGTATTAAATAAATTAAATAAGAGCATACTTATGATAAGCAAGAGTGCCTCTACCAAAATTGTGAATTTTATGGCCCGAGGGTCAGGGGTTGTGGTGTTAGGGCAGGGCTCTATAGTTTATATAGTGAAAATACATTGAATCTTTGAAAGTTTTCTTATCTGCTCCTTGGTATTAAGCAGATGAACTACCTATGTAGTTATGATGAGCAAGGGTCCTAATTTTTCCAGAATTGTGAATTTCAAGGCCCCAGGGTCAGGGGTACCATATAGGAGGGTGGCTGTACTTATATACTGAAACTGGATGAATTGTTCGAAATATGCTCCTTGGTATTAATCGAATATTTTTGAAAAGCAAGTGTGCCTTTTCAAAAAATTGTGCAATGTGTGGATCTAGGCCTTAGGGTCAAGGGTTCATGTGTGATTGGGGCATTACTGATCATGCTGACTATTACTTATTACTTGAAATGCATTTTTTGTTCCCCTACCCTGCCTATGGGTATTAAGTAAACAAACTAAGCAACTGCTAAGTGTATTGTTATGATGATCAATGGTGCCTCTTTCAAAATTGTGAATGCCATAGCATCTGGCTTAAAACATGAATCAAATTCAATCACTGGAAAGTTGTTGCATAATGCTCAGGTGACCTATAAGGCCCATGGGCCTCTTGTCTCATAAAATTTTTACTTGATTATTTTATTTAAAGTGCAGATACAAGTCAATATGTACAAAATAGCTTTGAACATATCATGCAACCCCTGCATGGTTGGAAGTTCTGTTCTAAGCTAGATCTTGTTACAGGTAGTGTTGTACTTCACTTATAAGTGAATTATAGTTGACTAATACTTGATAAAGTATGAAGAGTTAATGCTTGACTTATAAGTCACTTATATTTACTTATAAGTGACTATACATACATCAAGCATGTGGCTAATACTGGCTTATAAATCACTTATAGGTCAAGCAGCTCAGATCATTTACATATAAAATCCATAAGAATTCTAACTAAATTCTAAAATATATAGTACACTTATAAGTAAATTCCAAAATTTATAAGTGACTTATAAGTTGCTTATAAGTGAATTATAAAACACTCATAAGTTTCTATTAGCTTTTTCTGTAAGGGTAGGTCTAAAGAGGTCCAGGCTCCAAGGGCCAAAATCGGCCCCATCTCAAAAATAAATTATATTTTTTGATTATATGCTGTGGATATCTTTTTTCCAAAAATAGCATCAAATTGTTCGAGAAAGTCAATTTAAGGAGAAAATTAAAGCATTAACTAAAGACCGTCACTAAGTGATAATTATAAAAACATTCACATTTTTCAGTTAACACACCCTGCAAACTTTAACCTTAGCCATAACTTTTGAACCATGAATGGTTGAGACTTCATATTTGGTATGCCCAGCCCATCAATGAAGCTCTTTCTAATGACACCAAGGTCAATGACCTTGTGACCTTGACTGTGACCTATAAGCTAAAAATAGCTTTTTTGACGGCAAACTTTAACCTTTGCCATTACTTTTGAACGATAAAAGATAGAGATTTAATATTTGGCAGGCATACTTCACTAATGAAGCCCTTTCACAGGACACCAAGGTCAATGACCTTGTGACCTTGACTGTTTTATATGCTAAAAATAGCTCTTTTGAATCTTCACCATAACTTTTGAACCATGGAAGATAAAGACTTCATATTTGGTATGCATACTTCACTAATCAAGATCTTTCAAATGATACCAAGATGAATGACTTTGTGACCTTGACTGTGAGTTTCATGCTAAAAATATGTTTTTAAAATTGGTTGTCGCCGGGCGCTTAGTATTTCACAGACACATCTTGTTTTTCTGATAATATGCCGTGTATTTCTATTTTTAAAAATGGCATCAAACTTTCCAAATTAGTCCATTTTGAAAGAAATTAAAAGCATAATACTTATTACCTTAAAAAAAATCAGAAACATGAAAAAAGATTTCTTATATATAGACACACACAATTTATTCCATATTAAATGATCATCAAATTATTCACATTCATTGAAAATGAGAATTTGATAAAAATATATGCCTATTTATAAATTTGCTCAAAAGATTATGTTTTTTCTTTATTAAAATGAATGTCTAATAATTGTCATGACCACAACATGAGTTTAAAAAATGGCAATGACTGCTCAAATTTTTGGCAAATTATTTGTATAAGTATATACGTTCCCTACTCTGGATAATTAATAATACATATAAAACATACAAATATTATGATACATGACCAATGTACATGTAGACTAATGTAATGCAATACGAGAATAATTCATATACATGTCATTCTTCAACATTCTCATCACTTTCATCTGAAGTTTCAGGTTCAGATAAGTTCTTAGCATCCTTTAGGTACTGTGTCCAATCCTTCACACAACAGAATGGTTTAGATGCATGTCTGGCATAACCAAGATACCATACTACCGATGTTACATGTGCACACATACCAACAACTCGGGATCCTGTTTTGCATTTGCAGTACCAGGATCTCACTGTGGCTTCATCATGGGCAATCCAAAGATGATATGCTTTTGAACTGATATGTCGGCTTTTCAATTTCGCACATAGAAGATGTGGATCATAAACGTAAACCAAGACTTCAAATTCTGAGTCTTCATTTAGATGTTCAGCTGTGTATGATTTAGCTAAATTCACTTGATATATGCCAATAGTAAGTGCACGTACATCTTCCTCTGTCAGTTTTGGGAATAAAACATCAGCACTGTCAATTTTCTGCCAGGATTTTGAAGTACTTTATCCAGTCCCTCATTTTCAACTCGTGTCTTCAGAACATTGCTTTCTTTTGCCAAGTGCAACATCTTGCAGCCAACAGCTTCATCTTCTTCTTGTGAACCACTGCTCAAGGGTGGCAAGTACTTATTGCACAGTCCACATATAATTTGTATATAATCAGCAATGAATGGAATTTGCGTGTTTGGAATAACTTTTTCAAAGTATTTCCATGATTTTATCCTGCTATTTGCTGATTCTACGACCCAGCGTATTTTTGTAACGAGACGAGATGTGTTGCTGTTTTCTGTAGATAATTGCTTTTGGCCTTTTTCTAAAAATGAAGGCATTTCTGTTCTGATTCCAATGTCATCCAATGTAGTAATGGAATCGCGAAAACCACGATCCACTATGAAGACATCTCCGTCCTGCATCCATTGTCGTATTTCTTCTGAGTCAGTAGCAAAGATATGCTGCATGATTTTTGCATCATTGTTACTATTGTCAGCCAAATAGGGACCCATTACACGCACAAAATACCCTGTAGTTGTAACAAAAACCATGGCTTCTATTAGAGGTCTGTGTTTATGTAGACTATATGACCTCCTCTGAAAGGAGAACTGGTTGCTTTTCTGTATGTAAAGGTAGGTACCATCTATGACAAGAATTGCTGGCAAACAGTGCTCTCCAAAAAGAGTTTGGGCTAACGGACGGGTATGGTCTTGGATAACTTGTTCTCGTGTGACATGATGGAAACCAATGTTAGAAGGAACAAATGTCTGTCTCAAGTTTTTTCTGACTGATGATATGGCTCGTCTTATAGAATCCTTTGAAATATTGAATATGGTTGATAAAAGCTTGTTAGACATTCCAGTTTTCATTTTTGTGAGAAAAAATCCTAAGCATGTTCTTTTGCTTCTAACTGGTGTGTCACGAACTACAGTTAAATAAGAAAGCAGATTTTGAAATGACACTTTATCCAGTCCTGTCAAATTCCTTACATCAGAATCACTCATTGATCTGTCAAAGTTTATTCTCTCATTGCCAGTTTGCACTAAGTTTTCCCTGATTTTCTGTAGTAGATGCATAATATCACTTCTGTTGACGTCTGTTTGCTTTCTGAAGTTATTCATGTGATTTGAAGCCTCCTCTGTAAAAGAATCACTGTCAATGTGGACTGGACAACATCTTGATCCTGGTGGTATTAGAGAATTATAATGGACAAAAAAGTTAAATCGAACTGTCTCCGAGACTACAATCAGTTTAGGTCCTCGCCGTTTACACACAAGGCAACAGGAATGACTTCCTCCAATAGACTGTAGAGGCAAAGATATGTTCTTTGGTGATGAAACACTAGGAGCAGGAGCTGGAATCTCTGGGTGCTTGCTCTTTTGTTCTTTATTCCTGTAGTATACTCGCCTGCATCTTCCACACAAAACATCATTTTGTTTTATTATTTCAATTAAGAAGTTCTTTATATATTTTCTTAAATTTCTATTTCTGTCACTAGTGAGAAAACGTCTGTCCCTGGATTTGGTTCTTTTGTTGCATAGTACACAGGGAAAGTCACGTGGTGCTGACATCCTGAAATACATATGAGCCAGTGTATGAGAAAAGGGGTCTTATGACATAACGTCATAATGCACAGAAAACGTCATAAACGTCATGAACGTCAGAATATTGCGCGACGTCTGCATTTTCAAAGACGCTCCAATTTTAAAGAGAAAATACATTACATACGCTAATGAACATGAAAGTCATCAATTGATAATAGTAGTCACCACCATCATGTGAATATGGATGAAGTGAATTCTGAATTTCAGGTATATATTTTTGATATCAATTTTACGCATGTACAATATTTATTTAGACATCAAGCAAGAAGACCGATTATGTAACCTACCGACGCTGTAGATCTTAATTAAAGTACAGCTGTCAAAACATGGATTGCCTGTAGTTAAGATATCGGATATTTTCATATTGTACCTCGCTATAGATACCAGATATTACAAGGTAAATACCAAGGAAATAAATATATAAGATTAAATCAGAAGTGAATTGAAAAAAAAATAATTAAATTGATTCAAGATGAGCATATGAATACAAGAGTGTGATTTTTCTCGGTCCGAAAAATGCGTTTATTATTTCTGAAGTGTGCGCGTGTATTTTTTTTTCAGTGTGTACAGTCATTTTACCAGTAACGAATCGGTTTCTAGTTACGTATTAAATGCAACCCATATCTTTGAATTTCCAAATTTTCTTAGTTGTTGTTTAATTTGTATTTCTAAGCTCTACAAATAAGTAGTACAAAAATTTCAAAAATATAAACGGTACAGGAACAGAGCTGTCAAAAATAACACCCCCTTTTTTCCTAGTTTCGAATCAATTTTTCAGTATCGAATCAGGTGCCCTATAATGTTGCAGACATAATAAATGAAATCGGTTGTTGGAAATAATTGTAGAAATATACCTTCAAGAAAATTCTACATAAAGTTTATAAGCATTACTTGTTGATTCAAATGATTATTTTTCTAAAACTAAACAATATGAAAAATGTTGCATTTTATGAGAAACTTTTAGTGACATACGTTCTTACAATTAATTCAATCGTCTCTGAGTCATAATTTTCATGGAATATGGTTGCTTATAAATCGTTTTGATAGTATTTTCACTCCTGTCAGCTTTTTTTGTTTTTGCATCCCGTAAAACGGCATTTTTCGTTCTTCCAAAATTCGTGATTCGTAACTAAGAAAACAACACGTGGTAAGTTTAGATGTTAAATTTTATTCAAAAGTAAATTTTCTTTGAATTTAATATTCTATCTTATTGTATTTATCCTAAATATTGATTACATACTCAATCTGGGTCGACAACATACCGAAATTTTTATTTAGACGCATTTTTCGACACACTTTCGTTTTCTTAGACTTGCACTTGCGCGTGTTAAAATCTAGGTCATCGGTTCAAACTGTAAATACTGTGAAAAATAATCATGCAAATATTACAAAAACACAACACAGTGGTAGAATATGCATCCTTTTATTGCTTTAACCTAGTAAGGTTTTAACAACCCGTCACTATGATTTTCTAGAATATTTAAATAAAAAAAAATATTCGATACTGGCAAATATTCGTTACTGGTAAAATGACTGTAGTTTTTCAAGTGATGTTTAAATCACTACAAGGAATTTACTTATAAATAACTCTTAGTCTAATACCACATTATTCAAGAAAAGAAGATAAAACAAGTCACCAGCACAATGATTGTTCACATACGGCGTGTTTTTTTTTTTTTTAATTCTTACGGAACTTCAACTTTCTGATTAGATGTTATATATTGAGTTTTTTACACACAATAACAGTTTACACAGTATTCTCAATTTCACGTTAACAAATTGCTTTAAATAAATCCCTGTGTTTTCCTATAATAGTTACTTCTATTTTCAAGAATAAAAACGTCCAATAGATGTTTAAATTTCCCTCGGTTTACGCTGAGCTTAGCAACAGAGTTAACATAACACTCAGAATATTGACTGACAGACGAAATAAAGTCTACGAAAAAAATAAAAAAAAAAAGTCTACGAAAAAATCAAATATAAAAATAATTTTAAAAAAATAGAGTAAATTCGAATATAGCTGCAGATCTGTAGCTCTTCGGAAAAAAATATATTGATAGACTTTCAATGTTATATTGTATGATAAAGTATAATATTTTTTTTCGGAGAGCTACAGATCTGTATAGCTAATGCGAATAAAAAAGTACTCTATATTCCTTTCTCTATTTTAAATATTTGAACACAGGACCAAAAGAGTAGAAATTGAAACAAAATTTTAATTAAAAAAAACCCAAAAATTTTTGCAAATTCTACAATGAAAATTCAACTTAAGCAGATCCTTCATATTTAATTCTATGTTTTTTTATTATTATTATAATTATAAAAGACGAAAACGTTTAATAATTATAAACTAAAGGAACATGAAGTGCATTTTTAAAAGGGATAGTCGTAAATTCATTACTGAATTAAATCAATAAAAAAGTAAGTATTATATTTCGTCGAATTCAAAGATTAATAGTCTTGTTATTTTTAGGAACTAGATGATCTTTTCAATACACACTTTGGGTTGGAATCAGTTGCCAATTCACACTCAGATTTTGAGGAAAATCATTTAACAAGCGATCAGGATGAAACACCCTTTGATCCCAATAGATTAGACAGAATACGCAATTTTGTTCTTTCTCAATCAGAAAATGAATCGTCAGACTGTGAAAGAGATGGCGAAAATGAAAATGACATGCCTTCAGAACTGAATAACATTGAACGAAATTGTAAATGTGGCCAGCGTTGCTTTTCAAAGTTTGAGAATGCCGTAATTCTTGACCATGTATTTAATGTTAGAGAAATGGAAAAAGATGTTAAGGATTTATACATCATGGGTTCTATTAGCATTACCGGGTCTTCTGTTACTCGAAAAGGATCAAGATCCCGAAATTCGTACCACTATAGTTTTCGAAATGTGAAAATATGTAGATCGACTTTCCAGTGTTTGTTTGATGTGGGGAAAAAGTGTCTCTCGAATATCTTGAAACATTATTCAGCAAATGGGGCCGTCCCTAGACGACATGGAAATCAGGGAAGAAAGCCAAAGCATGCAGTCAATTTTGACGACGTACAGAGAGTGGTAAATTTCATTCTGGGTTACGCCGAGGAACACGGCCTCCCTCAGCCTGCGGCCCCTAGAGGTAGGGATGATGAGCCTCCCATATTTCTTCCTTGTAATTCTACAAAAAAAGCTATTCATGGCCAGTACAAGTCGGCATGTGATTCAGATGATATAAGGAAAGTAGAATACCACACTTTTACAAATATATGGAACTCCTGTTGTTCGCATATTAAAATATGCGGTCCTCGTTTTGATGTATGTCATCAATGTGAATTACTGAGGAAAAGAGTACTTGATGCAAGATCAGAAGAAGAGAAGTTAGAGGCCTTAACAAAATTTCAAAGTCACATCGATATAGCACAGAAAGAAAGAAATCTCTACAAAAACTCGGTTAAAGAATCGCTAGAAGAATTGAAAGGTATCAATCGCCAGGAACATCACAACCAACCGTTGTCCTCTGACTTCACCAAAGTGCACTATACATTCGATTTTAGCCAGAGTGTTGCTTTGCCTCATCATGCACGTCAAATGGGACCCTTGTATTTTCTTACCTTGAAGAAAGTACACATATTTGGGTTTCGTGTTGACGACAAACCTATGCAATACAACTATTTGATCGGGGAAAACGAAACACTTGGACTGGATGGGACGCATTCGCATGGCCCCGATACAGTTATTTCCTTGGTGCATCATGGCCTTGGCAACTATGGATATGGAGAAAAAGAGTGTTTGATCCATGCCGATAATTGTGCAGGTACTCTCTCTCCCCCTCTCTCTATCTCTCTCTCTCTCTCTCTCTCTCAGTGTTTGTGATCGTAATGATTGTGTGTAATAATCAGGCTTTTAATCCTGTGTGTAATAAATGTCAAAATATTACTAAGCGAAAGAAAGCTGTTTTACACTGTCACAGTACATTGTCTCAATGGTGCGTTGTAAGGTTTTTAAATACAAAGAATCTAATACACTGTATATTATTTTGCTGCAGTAACACATTTATTTTTATAAACATTTCCACCTTAAGAAAATAAAATTGCTTATGTTAATTGTTGGGACATATGAGAAATTTATGCCATATCGAGTCTATTTGAAGGCAACCTGTGGGTGTGTAAAATTGAAATTAGATAACGACAATTTTAAGCAGTATACTTGCAGTATTTGTTAACTTTCGTTTGGGTTTGAATCATGTTTGTGTGTATGAATAAAAAGAAATTTTTCGTATACGTTTCACTTACATAAGATAAGAAAAATGCAAACTCTCTACTAGATTATTGTTCCTGTATTTTCAGGTCAAAACAAGAACAAGTTCCTGATTGCGTACTTTGCATGGCGAGTGATTACTGGTTTGCACCATCAAATTACTTACCTAATGCAGGTTGTTGGACATACACGATGTCTGATTGACGCAGGTTTTGCAAGGGCAAAAAAGTTGTTTCGTCGCACCGACTGTGACAGTATGAATGAACTTCAGGGAGTTTTTGATCAGTCTTCAACAACGAACAAAGGTATTCTCTACGACAACGGAACAGATTCTACATGGAAATACTACGACTGGAAAGAGTTCTTGGGCCGTTTCTTCACCTCGTTACCTGGTATTTCAAAATACCACTCGTTCCGATTTCATGCAGACTTTCCAGGATTTGTATTTGTAAAAGAAAATACTGATTCGACCGAGAAAAAAATCAAAATATTCAAACCAGATGCACTTCAGCAGATACCAGGAAATTTTCCTAGGGAACTTGCACCCCTCGGAATGTCCAGAGAAAGAGTGAAGTATCTTTATAAGAAGGTCAGACCATATGTGCGTCCAAGATGTCAAGATGAATTATGCCCTCCATCCCAGACTGAAGAATAGCGTACCTAGGCTATTAATTTTCCTATAAAAATGTAACAAATGTAACCAAAGCAAAAATTTTGTTGAACTGACAAAATAACACAATATTTATTGATTGTTAAACATTATTTGAAAATAAAATTAATGCAAAAGAAAAAAAATATATGTTTAATACAACAGGATCTCACAGGGGTTGATGTGTGACGTTTTTGACGTCAAAATACAGGATTCCGACGTTTTAGCCATTTTTACTCCCTTTTGCAACCATTAAATGAAGCACTTATCAATAAGATATACAAATAATATCTATTTATTCCGATTCATTGCGCTTTCTTCTATTGGAATCAGCAAAAATACAAATTTGTGATTTTTATGTCATAAGACCCCTTTTCTCATACACTGGCTCATATAATTAATATTTAAATTATTACTTTGAAATTTAATCACTTGGCACTTTTCTGTGAGGAACAACATATACAAGTGTGTTCTTTAAAAATTATAGGCAAAGCAATTGATATGACCAGCTGTCAGGATAGATTTATTAATAATAATAATAACTAGAGGTACTGTGAGCGATGAGCTCACTAAATGATACCCCCCGCTTCCAATATGGTTATAACTAGTGAAAAAGTTCATGTTTTCCTGTGGCCGGGAAACTCTAAATATGTGTCAGATCAAAAAGTAAAATAGGAGCTGCACAATGGCAATATGTAATAAAGATTCTGTTAAAGTTTCATCAAATTTCATACTGTGGTATGAGAGGAGTTGCGAATAAGAGATGGGTACCCCAAAGCGTAACAGACAGACGGATGTACAGACGGACGGACGGAATTAACGATTACTTTATAACCTCCCGCTTTTCAAGGGGGGGGGGGGATATAATAAACAGAAATTGTCAGATGTCTTAAACCTGGTTCAAATCAAAGGTAACAGGCACAAAACCATATTTACAGATAATTTGTCTTTTTACTGGAAGGCAAATTAGTTCAAACTGTTTTTTTTTTCAAATTACTTTGTGACCATTGACCTTGACCTTAGACCGGCTATTAAAAAAAGTTCATAATGCTGATAAACACCATATTTTTTACATGTATGATTTAAGAGTATAAGTCTATGCTATTAAGCATGTACACTGTTTGTCATAAAACATGGAAAATACCAGCATCACAATCCTTATGACTTTGACATTTGACCAACTTCCAGAAAAGGCAGTTTAATTGATG